AGATGGGGAAAAGGTGGATGGTTCAGTGTGGTTAAATCACATCACCCCGGAAGGAACAAGTCAGACCTACCAAATGAACAAAAAGCAAACCGACAGGAGCAAAGCAGATGGTATGCATCTATCACTCTCCTTCTTCTAACACTGTTCATATGACAGCAGAAGTACAGTAGGTGGAATTCCAGGATTTAATTGGAGCAGAGAAAGTCTCCCTGTGTGCTCCCATGGCTTATCACTCTCCCAGCATCAACACTCCAACTAACTACAGCACTGATGCACAAAGATGGGACTAGCTGGTCTGCTATATCAGGGAAAGCTTCCAGGCCATTCTCACCTTCAGACGATTTTATTCTGCCCATCATCCCACCCTCTAATGAAATCCTTCTCCTGAATTAAGTGGCTTTACTACGTTACTCAAATCTGCTTCATTTTCAGCCCCTGGATGTTACATGCAATGGAACAAACATCACCTTCAGCGTAACGTCGCAGAGCTCTCCAGCTTCAAAGAAGTGAAGAAGAGAGCTGTGAAAATCCTTCCAAGCCTCATTTGCCTCAAAGACAAAGACATCAACTTCAGCATCACTGCTGGAAACCCTAGCTTGCTGCTGCTGCTGCCGCCGCTTTCCCTTCATCAGATGTTGCTTTGCCTGCTCAGGGACCATGGATTCTGAAGCCATTGGCTGCTCCTTCTCTCACTGCGTGGATCTTCAAAGCTCCTGCCAAGACAAAATCCAGCCCATCAGGAGTTAAGGCCTAAAGTGCAGTTCTGTTCATCTTCCTGATTTAAAAAAAAAAAAAAACAACCCACAAAAAAGAGAAGAAAATGAGGCATTAGGTAATGTTAGCACATCAGACTTTGATTACATGTGATAAATACTACCTGGGACCTTACTTGGGGGTGGTGAGAGGAGAAGAGGAAAAATAAGAGCCACAGTCAAGAATCCTATGTCAGTAGCTTCAGGAAAAGCCACTGTTTCTGGGCTTGTTGCCCACACTTCCTGAAAAAGACATGAAAAAGAAAAGGCAAAGATGTATCACAGAATCAGAGAATGGTTTGGGTTGGAAGGGACCTTAAAGATCACCTAGTGCCAACTCCTGTGTCGTGGGCAGGGACAACTCCCACCAGAGCTCCCATCAAAGCTCCATCCAACCTGGCTGTGAACACTGCCAGGCTTGGGGCAGCCACAGCCTCCCTGGGCAACCTGGGACAGTGTCTCACCACCCTCACAGGGAAAACTTCGGCCTAACATCTAATCTAAATCTCTTCTCTTTCCATTTAAAACTGGTCTCCCTTGCCCTGTGGATCTCTGTCCTTGTAAGAAGTCACCCTCTCTCTTTTTTTACAAGCTCCCTTTAGGTACTGGAAGGTACTCAAGAGTAATTGAGTAGCATGTTCCTCTCTTACACTGGCTTGCTTTGGTTTTCTTGAGTTTTAGTTCACGTATGATGAATTCATTCTTCACTCTATGCTAAGAGTTGGCAATTGCTACAGTTCAGTGATTTCTGCTCATGGACTGTGCTGTTGAAGGAAGAGCACTGACCAAAGGAACAAAACATTCTTCTCCAGTAAAAATTTAAGTCACGTGTCTGGGAGCAGAACTGATTTTCCTCTGGGATATTTTGACAGGATCTTACTAAATCTACAACTCTTTACGCATCAGTGCTGGAGAAAAAGGAGGAAGTGACCTGAGGCAGTTGCACTCATTTCTGCTGCAGGTCACAGGGCTGTTGGCAGCTTGAAGCAGGAACAAACAAGCCTAGGATATGGGGGCTGGACCAGATGACCCACTGTGGTCCCTTCCACCCGAACTGATTCTGTGATTCTGTGATATTTCCCTGTGGAGCTTTCAGCAAGGTAAGTATTCTTCCTTCAAAAGATGTCTAAGAGAAGGACCTTATTCCTTCCAACACTGCAAACTAGTTCAAAGATATTATGAATCACAGCAGTGTGGGCAGCAGGTCAAAGGAGGTGATTCTGCTCCTCTGCTCTGCTCTGGTGAGACCCACCCAGAATACTGCACACAGCTCTGGTGCCTCAGTGTGAGAAGGACATGGAAGTGTTGGAGCAAGTCCAGAGGAGGCCACCAACTTGCTAAGAGAACTGGAGCATTTCCCCTGTGAGGACAGGCTGAGGGAGTTGGGGCTGTTGAGGCTGGAGAAGAGAAGGTTGTGTGGAGACCTCAGAGCACCTTCCAGGAGCTGAAGGGGCTCCAGGGAAGCTGCAGAGGGATCTGTGTTAGGAGCTGCAGGGACAGGACAAGGGGCAATGGGTTCAAACTGGAGGAGGGGAAGTCTAGGTTGGATGTGAGAAAAAAGTTTTATACTCTAAGTGTGGTAAGACACTGGCCCAGGTTGCCCAGGGAGGCTGTGGCTGCCCCAACCCTGGCAGTGTTCATGAGCCTTGAGCAACCTGCTCTGGTGGGAGGTGTTCCTGCCCAGGGCAGGGGTTGGGGCTGGATGGTCTCTAAGCTCCATTCCAACCCTTAAATTCTTTGACATAGAAGTTCAAGAGTTTAAGAACCACTCACCAAGAGGATTAATCAGTGTTTAGCTTAATGTGCATGACGCTGTGTTAATTATGCACCAAACCGAAAGAGCCACTGGCAGATTTGCTCCCCAAATCAACAGCAATGCAGCAGTAACATGCAGCTGCTGGAGGTGAGGTTAGCACTTGGGAAATGCTACACACAGACCTTCCTCTCTAAAACAAAACACTGCCATGGCCATTGAAAACTTCAAGCACCTGCTCCCTCTTCCATCCAGCAATTGAGTCTTCCAGCCTCGGTCCAGTCTAGCATTTTGACTACACTGAGAGTGTAATTGACCATCACTGAAAGTGACTCTCAGGAAACCAAAGGAAGTGCCTCATTCATAATATCATCTGTTACTCCTTGTAAACAGCTGCTTGTCACTTTCCATGAAGGAGTAACTGCCTGAACACAAAGAACCAACGCACACATGTTTACAGCTCCCCATTGTTTGTGGAGGGCAAGTCAGCAATTTCCTTCTTCCAGCTAAATATTTAGAAGAACTGATGATGTGTGTTGCTCTCCAGAGTGCAGCTGGTCCAGACCCCAAAGTTCACAGGCTGGGCAGTGCTGGTCCTCAGGCAAGGGACTGAGGATCCCCTCTCAGCTATTCCTCAAGCAGGGATGGGAGGTCAGGGCACAAACATGTGATCTCAGAACTGCTGCAATTCAGACAACAGTAACATCCTAAAGTGAGGTGATTTTCATTCAGACATTCTAGCTAAATCTGAAACTGGATTAAGTGTAAAGTTACTCAAGTCACAGAGAGCACTTATGTTCAGTAGAGGGAAAACACCTCAGTTTGGAAGCAGGAAGAAACTGAAGACATAAGGCAGTGGCAGAACATGGATAACATGGCTCTGGTTTCCCCTACCATGGAATCAAACCCCAGGAATCCTGGCCAACAAGCCAACCCAGATGTGGAGTACACAGCCTCCTTCCCATCAGGTACCTCGGGAGATGGTGCCCTGGTGTCTGACACAAGGAAGGAAGACACACTGACACCAAACAGAAACAAAGCCAAGACTCCCAGGACAATCCCAACTGGGAAGTGCTCAGGTCAATCCAGTGCTTGTTATGATCAGTGGTACTGAAGCTGAAAAAAAAGGGTGGCAGAAGTGCAGGAGAAATCAAGACACAGATGAAGTTTCACCAACTCTCCTGTCTGTAATCCTGGTTTCCCAAAACGAACAGAACTCCCATCCTGATCCGCACAGGGCAGGGCAGTTAGCCTCTCTCAGAAAACAAAAAGGCCTTTTCACTGAAGGAGATGAGAAATTTGCCTTCAATGCAAAGTTTGTAGCCCAATGAGCAGGGAGGGTTTGGAAGTAACTCGAGTACAAACTGACTGCATACACATAAATAGACACAAGTTTGTACCTGTGGCTGTGTAAAATTGACTTATCTAACAGCCTGATGAGCCTCTGTGGGTAATGAAACGCTGGTACTGCTGATCACAAGATTGGATAAGCACAGGCAGAGACAAGATCTTCTCCAGCTTAATCTAGTTAACAGAACAAGTCGAGCTGTTGTCTTGTGCTGCACTAAGAACACTTGAACACTTGGAAAAGGAGCAGCTGGCAGAGCTAAGGAAGAGACAGAGGGAGAGAAGTGGAAAGGGCAGAAGGCAACTGCACAGCAAATTGCAGAAAAGCAGCAGCTTTGGCAGGGACTGCACCAGCAGCTGTTCACTGCTCAGCCTGGTTACAGCTGCAGCATCAAGCAGGAGCATGGGGGGAAAAACTGACAGACAAAATACTGTGGAAGATCCTCAGTGCTCTCCCCTTCTCCATTCACCAGTTCTGTCAAAGATGATGTAGAAGCTTTATGTAGAACTGTTCAGATTCCCATGCTAACCAGGTCAAATCAGACAAGGCTGGAAAAAATGGGAAAGTTCAAGCTCCACACCGTACTACAAGCATAAACCTACTGTACTTTTCAGCAGAAAGTTATTTAGCAGAAAGAAAAAAGTCACAAACCACATATCTAACTGGTTTGGCTTGTTTAAAACCACCAGTCTTTTGTAGAAACACATCAAAAGGTTTCTTAGACAGCACTAACATACCATTTCTAAATCCTTTCAGCATTTCAAGGTCTCTTTGTAGCAAAACCTTTTGTTTCGTGTTACTTGTCTCACAGGGAGTCCAGCAAAGAGTTGGCACCATCCCTCCTAAGCCTCTATAACAAAAATCCCATCAGTGCTGCAGACACACAAACAGTGAATGAGGATTGCTCTTCCTTAGAAAAAATGCAGCAGAAAAAGTGTTTTGAAGAGCATGAAAAGTATAGTCAGGTAAAATCTCAGTTCGGAAACAATTGTGCTTGGCAATCCCTTAATGCTGTTTGGAGCAGCTTCTTCCCTGCTCCCTTCAGTGCTCAGTGGAGTTCTGCTGAGGTTTAATCCCAGTTTCCACCACCAGAAAGGCCATCTGTCTTCTGGGATTTATGGAATGACAGGCTGACAGTTTCCTTCAGTTCTGCATCATGAAACACAACCACTGTGTACCATGATCTGTTCATGCTTGATTCACTTTTGCTTCAGAACCACCAGCAAAACCCCCCAGGTGCCCCCAAACAGCAGAGAACTCTGCTCTGCAGACACAGGTGTAACTGAGACGTGCTTTATTTAGGCAATGTCACCTTGGGAATATCCAAAAAGTAGAACACAGAAGAAGAACCAAAATCAGTGCAATGGGAGCACTGCAGTGAAGGGCTGGTGGATAGGTAAAAGAATTTAACCAGTGTATTGCAATAATGAGAACACAGACCAGGCCCTTACCAAGGGCAGGAACTATTGTCTTCTCTGATGGACCTGATAAAAATCACAATAGTCTAACGGTCTCCACAGCAGTGTTTAGTCTAGACATTCCTGGGAAGTGTTAATGGAGAGCAAAATGATTTCTAAGCCATTTGCCTGCTGCCCTTCATCCTGGAGGTGCAAATCAAGGCATGGTACCCACCAGAGCACTCTAGAGCTGCAGCCAAACTGTTTCCCACACACCCACCAGCCCCTTCCTCCCAGGGCTCTCTGCCTTAGCTGAGATTTCATCCTATCATATTATCATCCTGTTCTCTCACCCAGAGCGGAGTCCCTGAGGCTGAAGCCTCCTGTGACACTCACAAGCCAAACAGCCCAAACAATAGAGCAATATCATCTTTCTCTTGTTTCCCATACACCCACCAGTCCCTTCCTCCCAGGACTCGCTGCCTTAGCTGCCAACCATCATCACATTCCCTCACCTCAAGCCAAGAC